TTTTTTTATTGCTTTTTGTTTCAACATGCCTGCGAAAATCAATACTTTTATTGATTAAATTTGAATAGAAATTAAGTGCCTTACATATGATAATTATTAACGGAAGTACGACGATATATCGCCAAGAAAAAGAAAAAGAATTATAATTATGGCATTTTATTCAATTCGATTTCGAACCTAGTTTGGGAAACAATATTTCTACACGGTAAATGCTGCCAACGTCGCCACTACAGCCGTGCCAAGTTGTCTGGCGATGACTGAAAATAATATCGTTTATCATATTATTTTTGCAAAACGGTCGATAACGTATTACGAATAATATTTTTGACCTATAATGCTCGGACAATATATTTCTCGTGCACGTGATATTCGAAGTGTGTAACTTCCTCCTACGCATGTTCGTTAATTTTGTAGCCGATAAAAGCTATTAGGTTTACGAAGACGTGTGCGGCGTTTACGTTCGGAAAGTCTTCTCCGGTCGTGCAAATGCACCATTCGCATTGCCGATCTGTACAACAAACTAGTTCCGAGCACCAAATCCGGATTTACGAAAAAAGACGCGGCAGTCCGTTCAATCAGGATTGAAAAGTTCCGATCCGGATCACGAGTATCGATTCGGACTGGTCGAAGTATTTCTCGGCACTGCGGCGTGCACCCGCAACGCGTTATAAAATCGAATTATGCGCCACTGAGTGTACACTCGGTCACGTTATTATTCATTATTAAAATAACGCATGCAGGTCTATAGCACGGCTTCGGCGCTGCCTGCGATTAATTATGCCTAAAACGAACATGCGCAGTAAAATACGGCACGGTCGTAGATTTCCCGACGAGATAACAATATAATAATGTACGCAGTGACAAAGACATCACGTAACATCCCGGTGGGAATATTGGATAATTACAACGGCTATTTCATACGGAGAATACTAATAATAATACGCCACTGCAATGGGCCGCGGCGTAATATAGGTACCGGGTCTCGTTTTCAGAAGCAATACGTTCGTCCCTTATCGCGGCCTCGTTACTTGTGAAACATTAGTTCCGTAATAAATTAGATATTTTCACCGAGGCTGCAGAATGGACGAAAATATTAATTCCATTGAGTTAGATTCGCTTGAAAGATATGTAGTCAACGAGTTGAACCGAATAAATAGTTAATCGCTGTGTATTCATATCGATTGACAGTTAATTTGAAACTGTAATTTTTTTGTAAAATTCGTATTATTTCCATAGTGAAATCGATTAAACCGGGAGTTTTTCGTTTGTTTTTTTCAAAGTTAGGGTAATTAATCAACGAGGGGATTATTATTCCGGAAATATCAAATTACCCATGCCCATTTATTTTTCAACTCTAAACTGTACCCAATCAACTTGATGTAATTTAAATTTAATCAGTAATGTAAAAAAAAAAAAATCAAAAGGTTAAATGTTTAAAGCCAAGTAAAAGTTAAAATCCACCTAATTGTTAAACTCTTTATCATGTAGTCTCGATTTTGATTATAGTATCTTTCAAACGGATATATTATTTTAGGCACCGGTGTAAAAACAAAAATTGATTACGTTCATCTATATTTGGTGTATATACTGTCCGACAGAGCGCGCAATATATCGTCAGTCAAACATTATTATATTATTATTGTTATTATAATCTGTGATCGAATCAAATATCCTCGTCGTTGTCGTAGTCGTCGGTCTGGAAAAGCGGAAATAATGCGTAGGTATAGAGAATATATTGTATTTTGGCGTTCTGATTGTATTGACGGTCCCAAAGAAAATACGTAGTAGACGTTACAATAATACCAATAATAATATTTCTGTTTGAACGCGGCGGTTGAAAGCCGAGAAGGTAAAAAAAAAAAAAACACCGTACCGCAAATAGGTTCGAGTTTTATTTCCATTATACTATACACATAAGGTATAGGTGTTTTATACGATTCGATATCGTTTTAAAATATTAAATACGCTGTTTGTTGTCGTGATCGATGCATCCGACGACGGACTGATAGTGATAATATTTACCGGCGTGTCGGTTATCCGACGTCGGAATGCGTCGTTGGGACAAAGGAAACGTACGGCCGCGGGTACCCGTGACAGCGACTTTTCCGAACCTACGCGTGGTCACACGATATCCGCGCATATTTCTATTAAACTAACGAGGCCGCGGTCGGAAAGAGAAATGTCAACAGCCTAGACTGTGCCGAGAAAAAAAATGTGAAATTACAAGGCCATAAAATACGATAGTTCGATACCATTTTTCGGTGGGCGGGGGAGCAGTTAGGATGATCTTCATTCTTATATTAAGCAATATAAATCCCACCAATCATTTTAGTGAAGCGTCGGATGGAGTTTTTGGGAGCGAGCTAAACCCCTCTAGTCTAGTCCTCACCGATCTCCACCCAGAGACGCGTCGAAGATTTGTTTGTATATCTTTTAATTTAAACTCGGAAAGTTGCGTATAGTTCACCCTCTCTCCCCCCCCCCTCCGAAATTTCATGAAAACTATGATGAAAGTAGATTTTTAAAGAGCCTCAAAAGTGGTTTCTGTCAACGAGGAAGATGAATGAGATTTTAGTTTTATTTATTGTTATTATTGTCATTTATATAATTTTTTTTTTTTTTTGAGATTTTCCTGCTTTTAGAAAATTATAACTAATACGGCGATGTTACAATAATTATGAAACATAAAAGAATAAATTTAAAATATAAAAGGCTAAAAATGAATGTTATAAAACATTGATATTTTTAATGAAAACTAAAACATCCTACAATTGAAAGTATGGAAATTTCTTCGTTATAAGAGTATGAGAAAGTACAAACGTAATCTTTCTCCCCTCCCCCCAAATATTTCTTTTTAATCACACCTCAATATACCTACTTTTGTAGACGCAACACAAAATTATTAAGTAAATACGTATGCAGAGAGCAATAATTATATCACTTACTACTTACATTTACGGAACACGAACATACAGGAGAAAATTATAATTTTGATTGGCCCAAATAGGGGGGGGGGTTCTCAAGCCCCGACCCCCAGATTTTAACCGTAACCCCTCTGTTACTTCGGCACGTATCTGAGAACGTTCCCTATCACTAAATTGTTCGGTATTTTTTTTTACTTCAAAACCATATTTCATGGCCAATGTCCACTTAACGACCTTGACCTTCGAGATTACGCGCGGACCGAAGAACGTATTGCATATTTTATACTACATATTATGACCGGGCTTCAATTTATTTTCTTTGACAATTTTTTTTTTTCGACGTTTAAACACGATTTTGACCGAAATATTTTCTCAAATCGAAAAAAGAGATTTATAGTGCACTATAATACAGTTGGAAGCTGGACCAATTTCGTGCTGTTGGTTTTAAGTGAATTACCAAACTCAAAGGCAAGAACACTATCTAATAAGCAACGTTGGCGATATTTTTTCGATATTTCAATTTTTCCGCGAGTTCTGACAAGTGTTATTAATTTTCGGAATTTCACATACTCGCGTCTCTTTAAAAAATTTAAATATCGCCGACGTTGCACGGATATAATCTTTAAGTTTGATAATAAGTCAATTCACTCTTAAATTAAAAACGACAGCACATTATTGTCTCATATTAATTCCATATTTGGTATGCCATACGTTTGTGTGGCGTATTTATAGGAGAGATTAAAGACGCATATTCTCCCTCCCGTCTTGACCTTTTTTGAGTATCCATTACTCATATAATAAATCAAAAAAAAACCTAAAACCTAACCAGACATTTTCTTAATTAAAACGAAATTTATAACCAAACGACTTATAATATTATGAATTAAGGAGCGGTGTCTAGAAAAATTATCGATGAGGAATAAAAAGAAGCTAAATCCGTCCGGTGCGCGTTCGCCCGTACATTTATTTTAAAAACATTGAATTACAGAATTTTGAAAATGGCGTACCTGTTACTATAGCGCCCGGTGTGTAGTCACCTCTCGCACCCACAAAGGTGTGGCCCTGATTAGGAGATTAGATTAGTAGTTGAACAGTGAACTGATTAATGTCAATAACTATCTAGGTATACGTGTCAATATTTGAATTCAACGATCATTTTAGAGCGGAATCAATTTTAAATTGCTTTAAAAGTTCTATAAATTATTAAAAATTGATTTTTTTTTTAACCTTATTAATACGCGTGATATAATACGGGGCGTTTTTTCAAATTCATTATTCCTCGGCTCTCGGCGAAATCCTAAATACGCCACTGTAAGTCGTAACTCGTGTGTGATTACGCTATGAACGTAAAACTGTAACATACAATACGTAATTACGGTACGATACGCTCTGTGATACGCGAGCCGTATTTTTCGACTTTATGTTCTAAACTACGGACGCCGATCGTATTATAACCGGTTCGACGTATCGTATTAGGAATATATTAATTTTGGAGGGACGTCCGCGCGATACTCGCTCACGTTTTGGGCGGGTCGCGAAGAACAGGTCGTCCGTTATAAATACCGTGTCCATGGCCCGGACCGTCACCAGTGTTCGACTTCGTGTTTCGGCAGTACACCAAATTATCCGCTCGACCCGTCCGAAAGATACCGAAATGGCAGCTAAGGTAAGACAATCGCAATTTTAACATTATGTTTCCCGTGAAAACGTGAAAACGCGAACACGATTTCAAAAACGATTACACGGCAATGATACCAACCACGTTTTTCCGCAGATGATCATTCTCGCCGCGTGCGTGTCCGCCGCCCTCGCCCAATACGCCGCCCCGGCCTACGAACCCGCGTACCCGGCTTACCCGGCGCCCAAGGCCTACGCCGCCGAGCCCACTTACGCCCCGGCCCCGTACAGCTTCGAGTACAGCGTAAACGACCCGTCCACCTACGACGTCAAGAGCCAGTCGGAATACAGCGACGGAAAGACCGTCAAGGGATACTACAGCCTGGTCGAGGCCGACGGCACCAAGAGGATCGTCGAATACACCGCCGACGACTACGGTTTCAACGCCGAAGTCAAGAAGGAAGGCACCCCATCCGCTTACGCCGCCCCGGCCTACAAGCCCACCTACCCAGCACCTGCTGCATACCCAGCACCGGCTGCCTACCCAGCCCCGGCCTACCCAACACCGGCGTACTCCGCACCGGCCTACAAGCCAGCGTACAAACCAGCCTACTAATCGCAGTCAGACCCACTACCCCGTGAACCTTTGAAACCTTTATGCTCGTTTCTGTTGTGCTTCTTGATCTTCCGCCCTTTCGCCGTGCGCTTTTGCGCCGCCGCGTTCATATTGAACCGCGGTCTCAAAGTCGTTACATACGCTGCCGTATCCGTTTCAATACGACAGTTTTGCGACCGATGTATTTATTGTGTAAATATATAAAAATGTAAATTTAATGAAAAACAACGTGTCTTATTTTGTTCATTCACGCCTCAAACATCTAACGTTAATAAACCCCGAGAACCGTGTCAGACGGCGCGGTCGGACGTACACGTATGAAAAGAAAATCGACCGATTTGTACGGCCGCGCGAAACGTAAAAGTTCGCACATAAAAAAAAAAAGACCGACGAAATATTTCGCGACCACTGTTGGAGTCGCGAAGCCGGGAAGGTAAACGGGAAATTCAATGTAAATCAGCTGCGATTAACCCCGCGCTAACGGTAAACGATTCCGAGCGACGTTCGGTTAATAGTGTTGCTTCGTCACAACAAATACGTCGCGTTACGGTAAAAAAACTGCACGTGCACAATAGTCACGTGACTTGGGTGTATTACATAGTATTATTGTCGCGCATTACAAAATGCCTGCATCGTTTTTTACCAAAACGAGTTTCGTGCAACTTCGATGTTAAAGGCTCGGGCACGCTGAACGCGGTGACGCCACACACCATGCGTTTGTTTCGCGAGCGGCCTAATACAAACGCTGTATTTTTTCACAGTTGTTGCGATGATACATCCAACAATGGCGGTCGTCACATAAGAACGAATACGCATTGTTTTTCATTGTTTTTGTAATTATACTGCCCGTTGTTCATTCAATATGCCAAGTTCTGACGAAGAGCGATCTCTTCTTCTACTTGCATTTCTAAATAAAATAAAAAAAAAAAAAACGATTTTTTTCACTACATTTGTCCAATCTTGACGGGACGTATCGGATAAAAACGAAATGATATTTTCTAACACGCTCCGTTTCTTCCACCGTATTATAAATTTAATATAAGAATTTAAAAAAAAAAAACTAAAAGTAGACCACCAGCTGCTGCTGCCAGCGCGGAATTTAATAATTTTGTACAACTTGATCGCCTGTCGTCGCGATCTATATTGTCCCGCCTTCTGCGTGGTGGGAATAATGCGATATTACGTAATACAACTTAACCGCCTTACCGCCGTGGGAAAATATCATAGCCCGCCGAGACAGACCGCGTTCTGTGTGTCCGAGCATTAAAACTTCCATAAAAAAATTCTACATTACACTCGATTTTTCTTTCACGATAAAGCACAGCTTATATTGAACTTCCTGTTAAATATTTTAGAATTTCTATTTGGTCTATCAATTTTATCCATAGTGTACCCATCAAACAAATAACTACGTAAGAAAACCCCATAAACTTGAAATGTCGATAAAAAACTCAAAAACGGCTACAATATTTTAAAAATATTACTTCGTCAATAAAATGCAAATGTAAGTTTTCTGTCCAAACTACAAGTCTCTACAAATATTTTTAACTGAATCAAAACAAAATCGAACAACAAACAAAGAATATAAAACATAATACATTTCGTAAATTTTGTCCATTTTTCCTACGTTTTTTCCGGATTTTCCTATTTATTATGAAAACAACTAAATAAATCAAAAAAACGACCTCTTAAAAAAATAAACATTATTATAAAACCAATACATTCCTCGCTCGACTCAGAATCTAAAACTGTATTCCAAGGTGACTCCGGGTGATTATTCGTCAACAACGTTTACATAATATTTACATAGCAGTAAATTTTACGAACATTAATCTGATATGAATTCATGTTGAGTTTACCGTTCCGAAACCGTTTCAAGATACCAAACAATAAATACAAAAGAGCTTTTTATTTTTTATTTTGTAAAACGTTTAAAGCGGTTTTCATTGATGATTTTTTACTTTTGTTACACGTGTTTACCTTTGCCGTATTCTCAAAATCGTAACACCTTCTACGAAACATTATATTATATTCTGTGTGAATATAAGATTTCAGTGTACAACTGTGGAACTATAACTATAATAATGAAAAAAAAATCCTATTCTTTTATGACAACACGAAAACATGTGTACTGTAAAATGAGCAATATAAATTATATAAATTTATGTTTTTTTTCGCTCATATTAGAGAGATCATTAGGGAGATTTATTTCCCCACTTAACCATTCTTTTGAGTAGGTGTCCGTCTAATATTTATATGACTACCTGTCAATTGTGAAATATCAATTTCTTCAAAGTTTAGTCGGAAATGTCAACAGTTCACTGTCTTGATACTTAAGGTTGTTAATAATTGATATACCTAGGTATATCTAGTTATTTCATTTCAATGATAATTTTAAAGATTTGTAGAAATTTAGAGATTGAATTATTAATTATTCACAAAGTACATAAATTGAAATTTGATACAATTCCATACATGGATATCGAAATCTAATATCTCTCTCCTGGCTAAACCTTATGTTACAGTGCAAGCCGAAATCAGTAGTTACCAAGTTATAGTTTTTTTTGTATACTTCTACTTCTATAATTAATATTATTTTATTTTCTGTTATAAGTACAATATATACGCTTAGTTTTCAACTCGAGCCATGCGTCACTGACAACACCTAGTTAGTAAGTACCTTGTCTTTACAGTCACCAATTATATGGTAATAATTTATTGTAACTCTTCGTTACTATTCGCTAGATGGTTAATGACGGATTCGGGATAAAATAACAGGAAGAAGGGGAGGATGATTGTTGAAATTCATAAACACACATATATGATGAAAATCAAGCTCATATTGAGTGTATTTGAGAGCGAACAAACTGGGGGGGGGGGGTGATCGAAGGTATTCTATATTTTATAAAATCGGCGATTTATTTTAATAAGAAAATGTTGCCGAAAAATGCTCCGATAACATTGTAAAGCCGTCTCTAAAAAAAGACCATTCGAAAAATGGAAATTAGAAATCTTTTTAAACATATTTTCCGTTTATAGAGATTGAACGAGGGGCGGGAAGGATATCAAAATCGAAATGGTCATTTTATCGTATTCGTCAATTTGTCGACGTACGGGAATATTTTTTTGAACTGCGACTGCTGTGGGACGCCGTCTCGTACGTTTTCGTATTTATGTCAATATCGTTTACGCATTTAATTTTTTCTATCCTTCCGGACTCTTAAAATTTCTCTATAACCACCGACTGGTTATTGGTTACCATAAATAGGTAACTTTTGATATACTTACGTACGAGACATTTTGTTGTGCACGCGTTCTTATATAAAATCCAGTAGCTGGCAGTACCTGCGATCTAACAACTGTAAACCGACGCGTAATACAGAACATCTGTATCGGGCTCGACACAAAGGAAACGTTTTTCGTTTGTATAACAAGTCCAATGTTATATAGGTTTTAATACTATCGGATGAAACGAGTTCAAAAAATAAAAAAAATGTTAATTTTGTCTAATGTAATATTTTTTCCATTATCTTTTAGCCTAATTAGCATAATTGTACGTTACACGGTGTACACGTGTGTTAGTTTCCATGCACAAGTGTGTGTATTTTCAAAATTTAATTTTTTCGTGTTTGAAAACTACACGAAATCGACTACTGCCTTACTACTACCCTCGGATCAAAGAAACAACGATTTATTATTACGAACAGTCGATTTTTAACTATACTAATTCAATCACTTCGAGTCAGTTTAAATTTCATTAGACATTAATCGATCGATATCGCACGATAGCTTATACCATCGTGTAGCTAACAGTGATTCGTTCTGATTTTCGTGGGATCGGGGGACCGAACACGTATTCCGTTTAAACACGACGTCGTCGTGCCGCGTGACAACAGTCCGTACTCCCGTCAAATCGCAAACTCTGTATTGTTATGTTTTCACTGCGCGGTCGCCCCGAAATAACGAATAGTCGACTCGAAGTCCGTTACGTTTTCAAATCGGATTTTACCCGCGGTTTTTTATTTGCGAAACGATTTGGCCCGTCGTCTTCGGACCGGGACGGTGTGCTCGGCCGGCCTAACCGGTAAAAGCGCGCGAGTATAGCGCAAACGGTATCGTCATTACGCGTACGTACGCGTCAGTCCGCGAGCCGTAATATTGATATTTTAAAATTCAGTCGCGTTCACAACGGTTAGGTTAGGAGAATAAAAAAAAAAAATTACAAAAAATACGCGTTTTATACAAACGCCGCGACCCGAACGCGGTGTGGTTGAAATTAACATAATGCAGAATGTTTCGAGCGGACCGGCGACGTCGAACGCAATAACCGTACGCGCGCAACGTCCGCGGCCACCGCCGGTGCGGTGCAACGGTTTTTACCTACACCGACGCGCGTTTCGTTCGCGTCACGGCGAATCCGCGCCGTTCCGCAATAACCGTAACGACGTTATCGCGTAGGTGAATAATTACGCTTCGATTTTTAATTGAAAAATTCCGGACGGCAAACACCGTACGCCGGCGCGCGCGCGCTCAAAAGGCGCGGGGATAAAAACTGTTGTCGAAAACCTTGTAGTCTTATGATAGTAACGATTATTATCATAAGCGCACCGCGCGGCCGACGGTGCCGGACGGCTTTCACTATATTTTTTTTTTTTTATTATCGTTGAACAAATTTAATAGGTAATATGTTTCAATTTGCGTGGTATTTATTTATTTATTTTTCTGAGGAGATCATTTTTTCACTATTGTTTTGGTAATATTCTTGAATTACGGGAAAAAGTGGCAAATTTTTCTATAATCCGCGTTGATTTCCGGGTCAACCCAACAAGGTAACCAGATAACAAGCGACAAGGGTATACGACTAATAATACGCAGAATCGTTTTTCGTCAACAACGGTTTGTCGTCGCGTACAGATGCCAATCAAATGTCAATAAATAAACAAATAAATCCGCCACCCCAACTGAACTCCTCAAACGGCGACACACTCATTGATGAGTGTGCTTATGAGTTTCGTCCGCGGTACCTAATAGGGTTTCCATAGACATCAATCAATACGGATTGTTCAATCCGCGACTTCTTTGCCTTTCACGCGTCAACGGCTGCGGCGTCGTCTCCCGGGCTTTTTTAGAACAGTTTTTGGCGTTTTCGGGTGATTTCTCAAGTGGATATTATCGTCTCGTCAAAAGGCGTTTTCGAGCGGTTCTCGACAGGTCTTTTGACGCGTTTA